CATATTTGAGAGAAAGTTCAGACCCTTTCATCAACAAAACCAGTCTGCGTGTCCCGACAATGCCGAAGCAGTGTAAGGTGGACTTAAATAATCGATGGCGTAGCTCAAGCCTCAAGTGATGGGGGAAGAGCAGGACACACACACACACACACACACACACACACACACACACACACACACACACTACCACTACCTTGTTTTCATTCAGAATCGAGTATGACGATCGTCCAGCTATGATAAAATGATATGGAGTTATTAAGGATGTCACCTTCGTTGGTGAGCTCTGGGGTGACTAGAGAGGCCGATAGGGGACCGGCAGGGTCGTCCAAAGATGTTGCACGTGTGGGGGGCTACATCTAGTGCGGGAGGGGCGACGACAGCGTCTTTCCGGCGTTGGCACTTGTCTGCTTCGGTATGCAGTCGGGCTAACTCGAAAGTATAGATACCTTCTCGTGTGGTGCTCCTCCAAGCGTTACGGTGTGGAGTAATCGTCTCCCAGGTGAGGGGGTCGATTTGGCACATTTTCAGGGTTTTTTTAAGACTATCCTTATACCTTTTCAGTTGCCCGGCCAGCGTTACGTTTACTATTCGTTAGGTGACTATAAAGTAGCTGCTTTGGCAGCCTACTGTCGTCCATGTGGGTAACATGGACAGTTCAACGTAGTTGTTCATGGGTAATGGTAGCCTTGATGCTCCTACAGTTGGTGTCAGCGAGAATATTGGCATTTGCTCTCTTGTCTTCCCAGCGAACTCGGAAGATGGAATGTAGACTATGTTGGTGAAAGTTTTCAAGTGCCTTGAGGCGCTTCTTGTATGTGACCCATGTCTCGCTGCCATACAGCAGGATGGGGAGGACCACTGCTCCATACATGTGCCACTTTCTAGATAATTTCAGCTTCCTACAGCTGAAGACACGGTTTCAGAGTCTGCCAAAGGCTTGAGAGCACATCTGATCAGATGTTGAATCTCTTCATCGATGTCCGCGGTAGTGGACATGTGGGAGCCGAGATACTGAAAGTGGGTTAACATTAGAGAGAGTAGTCCCGTTAAGCTGGATGATGGTGAAGGTGCGGCTGAACCAGAGACGGGCTGAAAGAGAATTTGAGTCTTACGTAAACCCACCTCAAGGCCGAAGTGTGCCTACGCATCTGCCTAAATGTTCAGGATCTCCTGTAGGTCGCATTCAGTGTGAGCGACAAGGGTGAGGTCGTCTCTGTACTGAAGTTCGGTAATGAAAGCTGCCGACACCTTTGTTCCTGCCTGGAGTCATCTTATGTTGAAAAGACCTTTCATCCGGTACTGGATGTTCACCCCGCCGGCTAAATTGTCACTGGCACGAATAAGGAAGGCAGTCAAGAAAATGGAAAAAGAGTTGGTGCCAATACGCATCCTTGTTTTACCCCCATTTGGGTGCGGAAGAGCTCAGACTGGGTGCCATTGTGCAGTACACTGCTGTTCATGCAATCGTGGAGTTGCTTTACAATGGCGATGAATTTTGGTGGGCAATCAAAACGGTTGAGGGTCCGCCAGAGGGCTTCCCTGTTGACCAAGTCGAAGGCCTTGGTAAGGACGATGAAAGCCATTTACAGATCACGACGCTGTTCTCTCCACTTTTCCTGTATCTGGCGAGTAGCAAAGATCATGTCAGTGGTGCCACGTGATGGTCTAAAGCCACATTGAGATTCTGGGAGGAAGTTTTCTGCCTCAGGAAGAAGCCTGTTTAGGAGGACTCGGGCGATAATCTTGCCAGCTACGGACAGCAGCGAGATCTCGCGGTAGTTTCCACAGTCTTATAAATATTGACGATGGAGGCGTCTTTAAGAGCTTGGGGATTTCCTTCTTTTCCCATATATTCTCCAAGAGAGAGTGGAGACGACTGGTAAGCAGAGGTCCTCCCGCTTTTACACCTCGGTTGGGATTCCATCAGGCCCTGAGGCTTTGTTATTTCATCTGTGTGATGGCATTTGCTACCTCATCCAGGGATGGAGGATAGTCGAGGTGGGTCAGCTCTGGATACTGAGGGACCTGCTGGGTAGTCAGGACACCCACATCGGTGTTTCGATTGAGCAGCACTGAAGGATGCTTTCTTCGTCTTTAATTGGGGAATTGCCATCGGATGAGTGGAGGGTGGCTGTGCCATGAGTGATTGATCCATAAAATGTTTTAGTGGAATTGAAAAAATCGCGCATCATGTGTTGTTTTGCAAGTTTTTGCATTCACATGCCTTATTTTTAAACCAGTAATTTTTTTAGATTGTTAAGTTCACGCTGGACTGTCGTTTTCTTCTTGCGGAAGGTATCAGTTTTGGTCAGAACCTAAGGGTTGTTCTGCCAGTCAGTTAAGGCAGCACATTTATCATCGACGAGTACATTGATTTTTGGGTAATTTTCATCAAACCACACACACACACACACACACACACACACACACACACACACACACACACACACACACACACACACTACCTGGTGAAGCAAGGAGGCAAAACAGCCTTAAAGTCGCGTGAATAATAAAACGATAGCTTTTGGGTTATGGACGAAACAAAACAGCCAATACAATAACAAAACAAAAGAGAAACGAGAAAATTTGGCAAAACAGATACGGCGGAATTCTGAGACAGGATACAAGTGGATGTGGAGGAAGATGATATCGTGTGTGGATGGATCATGAGATAAAAAAAAAGGAAAATTGAAAATAAACAACAGCGAAGAATCATCAACAACTCCCCATGACACAGATCGTAAGATAAAAGGAAAGTCCTCATCCACTCCCCAAACTCATTGTGACGCTGAACACTAGACAGTCACAACACAGCGCTGGCGGGGGATGACTGTGAGGCAGATGATACAAAAGGAGAGAGAGACGCGGGCTTTAAAGATACTGAAAATGGGAAAAAAAAACGAGAACGAACTGCCAGTAGAAGACTGGAGGGGAAGCTCTTGTAACCCAACTTGGAAACATTCACTGAGGCATGAGGCACCGACCAGAGGAAACCCTAAGAGTTTTAACCTAACCTAACCTAACCTAACCTAAACTAACCTAAGAGACTGGACAAAGGTAATCTACACTCTCTTGATGACGTGGCAGCAGAGGACAGAGACGAGAGAATAAGCTCTATACTGTCTCGTGTAAGAGATTAATGAGGTAATTATGAAGACATAACTGAGACCTCAAGTGAAGGAATTCCTGAGTAAACAGCACAAAGATTTAACACCAGGGAGAGGTATTACTGCTGTGGTGTTTGGTCTGGAGATGTTAGGAAATTGTTAAGGAATAAACTAAGGAATGTTGTATAGGCTTTCTGGATCTAAGATAAAACATTCAACCTGGACCTCAAAGACACAGTGTGGGATCTCTCGGACCCCAGGCAGAACAAGGAGTCACTCTTCTTTGTTATATCTGGACCATCACTATTTTTTTCCTTTGTCGATGATATGCATTACGTTCTTGTGTATGTCTTCTACTACTACTACTACTACTACTTTTTTTTTTTTTTTACTACTACTACTACTACTTTTTTTTTTTTTTTTTTTTTTTACGTGGCCTCCAGCCTCCCCCAATAGCCACACCTTCGCCACCATTTAATTACCTTAATATTAAATATCCTAATACATATGTAGCTATCCTATCTGTGTTAAATTAGTTGAGCCGCAGATCTATGCCGCATTCAGTGACTACTACTACTACACATTCGCCGCCGTTTTATTACTACTTCTACTACCACTACTACTACTACTACTACTAATAATAATAATAATAATAATAATAATAATAACTACTACTACTACTAATACTACTACTACTAATAATACAAACCAAAGTTTCATAATTCAAGATCTCATCAACACTGATTTAGACACAACTTAGCAAGGTAAAGTTTCCTAAGTTCTTAATGAGGTTCAAAGACGCCAGCTTCAACATTAAGCTGGTTTAAGTTCCACGAGCCAATACAGAGAGGAAAAAGTTGTCTATCGCAAGCTTCTATAAACGGTGATGGCAGAGTGGAAGGTCTCGCGTCAAGTACCTTAAATAGATCACCTGGAGAATAGGCAGCATTAGGGTGTTTACTCTTCAGGTGATCATTTAAAATTTTACACTATGCTATAAAGAGCAAGAGAAGGAGATAAGGTTTACTGTAAATTGTGGGGTGAGGCAAGGTAGTGTACTGTCGTCCCTTCTAATCATCTCTGGATGTAATAATGAAAATAGTGTGCCAAGATGAACCTAGTGTGTGTGTGTGTGTGTGTGTGTGTGTGTGTGTGTGTGTGTGTGTGTGTGTGTGTGTGGATAAATATGAAGAAATGACAGACCAAACAATATAATTTATAAAAAAAAATACTAACTGATGAAAAAAAAGGATATGAAACGATAATAATAATAATAATAATAATAATAATAATAATAATAATAATAATAATAATAATAATTTTCATCACAGAGACAGGACTTCCGTATGTTTCTAAATATTAAACAAAGAGATGAAATAAATTTACTTATACATATCCGTCATTATTAAGTTTATTCTTGACATACGGATCAGAGACGGATTTTGTGTTAAGAACGCTCAGTAAACACAGATGCTCGAGAGCTAAGAGGAAATGAGTCAGGCTTGGAGTATATGACAAAGGTGTAGCAGAGATGTTACGGCCTTATTAAAACGATGGATGTTCAGTTTTATTCCTGTAGCTTATTTGAGAGAGTGACTACATTAGTTACACACTACCAGACAGCTAGTGGTTAAGTCTCCTTGACACACCAGTAATTCCTGAAGTTGGTTCTCTGAAGTTAGGATAATTCACGAAGCTTTGTTGTGGTTGGAGAGAGCGAGAAAGGATTTTTTAATCCTTTAAGAGTTCTAGTGGAGCCAAATGGAGACCACAAGTAGCAGCAATAGAAGCGAGGGAGGGAAGTTTACCCACACACACACACACACACACACAGCGCGCCTGCTCCCTGGCTCCTCTACCTGTTGTGTGTGTGAGGCAGGCAGGCGGGCGACACACGTGGGGGCTGTCCGGGTTCTCCCCGAGTACCAGCCACCTTACCCAGCCAGTTGGTCGTCAGCCACGTTCTCGCCCACACACGCTCCCATACGCTGCCTCCCCGTGTGATCTGGGCCACCCAAACCTTCGTGATAACCTCCCCTGAAAACTTTATCATCTCGCTCGAGGGAAAACAAGATAGAGAAAACTTTTATTTGTATTTTCCAACGAGACGATCTTGTCTTAATTTTTATCTTAATATTATTTAAGACTGTGAGGAACGTTTGTAGAGTTAGTTTAGTAAGTGGAGACAAGAGACGATGGAATTGTCATAATCTCTCGTGTTTTGTTCACCTACAGACAAGACTCATGTATGTTTCCGTAAAAATACAAGACATGTGACGCCTCATCACACATGATAATACAATGTTAGGTATTTCTATAAACTTGTAAGCCGAACTAAATTGATACTCATACAGGATTAGTATTTTCCCCCATAAACTCGTTGCATATATAGCTGGCCAAAGTGTATAGCAACTCTCTCTTACGAACACACTTTCCTCACAAGACAGACATACTGTTTGGCCAGGTACAGTGCTGTAATCTGGTGTATCTTGAGGTGAAGTGCTGTACCCTATACTGTACAATATCTTACGGTGCACAGCTTTATGGTACTGTGAACCCTGCCGTGAGAAACACCAGCACAAAAGTCTGGTGTACAGAAAAACACACACCGTGGAAGCCAGTGTGTGAGTGTGTATGTGTGAGTGAGTGTGTGTGAGTGTGTGACGTGTGTGTGTGTGTGTCACCTTGCAGCTGACATATACATACCATCAAGTCCCTCTTCCTCCACCTTCTTACTACGGTGAGTACCTCTATGAATGACGTCACTAAAGGTACAGTACAGTATGTCAACATATACCATTAAGCTTGTATGTTCAGATAGACCTACGTAGCCTCTATAGTTAACCTCAAAGATGATCTACAGGTTTATATTATGTTCATTGTGTCTCTTATGATGAGTTTTGTTTCGCGAAGGTTAAAGTGAATAGTTCAGGTGTTCAGAGTAAGGACGATACTGTGTGTGTGTGTGTGTGTGTGTGTGTGTGTGTGTGTGTGTGTGTGTGTGTGTGTGTGTGTGTGTGTGTGTGTGTGTGTGTGTGTGTGTGTAAAGAAATACCTCACAGTGTGTCTAACAGAACAAAAAAATAATAAAATACAAAATATTCCCCAATGTATATAACAAGAGGCGGATCCACATTGCTGTATTGGGTTATATGGAAATCACTTAACCATTTACGGTCAAAGTTATCAATACTACATATAAACCTTCCAACCTTCATATTGTCCTAGAGTATTCACATGTATATAAATTTCCACATATACAGGGCCATCGAAAAAGAACATCCCAAATTTCAAATACATTGTACATATATATTATAAACTGGATATTCTTTTCCGATAACCCGGGTTTATTAAATTTTACAATCTCTCTCTATTACTAATACACGGAGAGGGGGTGTGGGTGAGGGTGGGGGTGGGGGTAGTGTGGTTGAGGGAGGTGAGGGGGGGTTGGGTAGGTGGGGTGGGGGTTGGGGGTTAGGTGGAGGTTGGGTAGGTGGGTGGGGGTTGGGGTTAGGAGGTGGAAGGGTTGGGTAGGTGGGGTGGGGGGTTAGGGGGTAGGTGGGGATGTGGGGAGGCTGATATCCAAGACCAAGCGACGTTAGTTAATGTGTATGTCATAAATGCTGTTAACTTTATGTTCACTTTTATATGAAATAAGTATACGGCTCAAGGGGTTAACTCATCGTCCTCAAGGGGTTAACTCATCGTCCTCAAGGGGTTAAATCATCGTCCTCAGGGGGTTAAATCATCGTCCTCAAGGGGTTAAATCATCGTCCTCAGGGGGTTAAATCATCGTCCTCAGGGGGTTAACTCATCGTCCTCAACATGTTAACTCATCATCCTCAAGGGCTTAAATCATCGTCCTCAGGGGGTTAAATCATCCTCAAGGGGTTAAATCATCGTCCTCAAGGGGTTAAATCATCGTCCTCAGGGGTTAAATCATCGTCCTCAAGGGGTTAAATCATCGTCCTCAAGGGGTTAAATCATCGTCCTCAAGGGGTTAAATCATCGTCCTCAAGGGGTTAAATCATCGTCCTCAAGGGGTTAAATCATCGTCCTCAAGGGGTTAAATCATCGTCCTCAAGGGGTTAAATCATCGTCCTCAATGGGTTAAATCATCGTCCTCAAGGAGTTAAATCATCGTCCTCAAGGGGTTAAATCATCGTCCTCAAGGGGTTAAATCATCGTCCTCAAGGGGTTAAATCATCGTCCTCAAGGAGTTAAATCATCGTCCTCAAGGAGTTAAATCATCGTCCTCAAGGAGTTAAATCATCGTCCTCAATGGGTTAAATCATCGTCCTCAAGGAGTTAAATCATCGTCCTCAAGGGGTTAAATCATCGTCCTCAAGGGGTTAAATCATCGTCCTCAAGGGGTTAAATCGTCGTCCTCAAGGGGTTAAATCATCGTCCTCAAGGAGTTAAATCATCGTCCTCAAGGGGTTTAAGCATCGTCCTCAAGGGGTTAAATCATCGTCCTCAAGGAGTTAACCCATCGTCCTCAGGGGTTAAATCATCGTCCCTTAAGGGGTTAAATCATCGTCCTCATGTGTTGAACCCATCGTCCTCAAGGGGTTAACTCATCGTCCTCAGGGTTACCGTCCTCAAGGCTTGGTAAATCATCGTCCCCACAGGGGGTTAAAATCGTCCTCAAGGGGTTAACTCATCGTCTCAAGTTAACCTATCGTCCTCAAGCGGGTTAACTCATCGTCCTCAGGGGGTTAAATCATCGTCCTCAAGGGCTTAAATCATCGTCCTCAAGGGTTAAATCATCGTCCCCAGGGCGTTAACTCATCGTCCCTCAGGGGTTAACTCATCGTCCTCAACATGTTAACTCATCTTCCTCAAGGGGTTAAATCATCATCCTCAAGGGCTTAAATCATCGTCCTCAAGGGGTTAAATCATCGTCCTCAGGGGGTTAACTCATCTTCCTCAAGGGGTTAACTCATCGTCCTCAAGGGGTTAACTCATCGTCCTCAAGGGGTTAAATCATCGTCCTCAGGGGGTTAACTCATCGTCCTCAACATGTTAACTCATCATCCTCAAGAGCTTAAATCATCCTTCTCAAGAGCTTAAATCATCATCCTCGGGAGCTCAAATCATCACCCACAAAAGCTTAAATCAGCAACAAAAGCTTAAATCATCCACAAAAGCTTAAATCATTATCCTCAAAAACTTAAATCGTCATCAACAAAAGCTTAATTCATCCACAAAAACTTAAATAATCCTCATCAAGAGCTTAAACCATCATCCTCAAGAGATTAAATCATCATCCACAAAAGCTCAAATCATCATCCACAAAAGCTTAAATAAGCAACAAAAGCTTAAATCATCCACAAAAGCTTAAATCAGTATCCTCAAAAACTTAAATCATCTTAAAAAGCTTAATTCATCCACAAAAACTTAAATAACCATCAACAAAAGCTTAAACCATCATCCACAAAAAGCTTAAATTATCAACAAAACTTAAATCATCCTCAAAAGCGTAAATCAAACACTAATCTGTATCCCGAAACACTCGCCAGGACTATGGAACCACAAGGAGAATGGCCGTGTTGTTCTGCCAGGGGGAGGAGACTGAGTGAACACAAAGCGGGCGGTGGTCGGGTGTATATGTTGTTCACCTTTACCAGTTAAGGGAATCATAACACCGCCAGATCACCTTAATTTAATAGATGATATTTTAGACGTAAAGGTGTATACGTGCATGTCTAAGTGATTTAAGTAAGTGTGTGTGATTTATTACGTTTAAGTATTTTTTGTAAGTCTAAGTGATTTACTAAGTCTAAGTATTTTGTAAGTAAATGATATAGTGGCGCTATGGTGATAGTAAAGCCGATAATTATTAAGAAAATAACTTTGGGTCACCATGATTAGAGAGAGAGAGAGAGAGAGAGAGAGAGAGAGAGAGAGAGAGAGAGAGAGAGAGAGAGAGAGAGCAGATTCTGTACTCTACTGTAATCTTTTGATCAAGTGGTAATCTTCTGGACTCATAAAACAGAACAACGTTAGAAAAAACACCAAAAAACACAGGTGTTATTTGATTACCTCTGACTTACCTGCCCTGTCAAACAACATCATACTACTTAGATATCAACTCCTACTGAACCGTACTGGCTATTGAAGGACACAGGCATTGCGGTTACTTGCCATAGATCCCACTGAGAATATGAAACACTGGGCAAAAATGTCAACAAATATACTCATATCTCACACAATCGCTCGCTAATTCACGACTCTAATACTCACAAAAGAGGCGATAAAAAACAACACACAAATTACTCTGGTTATACTAATGGGGGAGAGAATGTTATAGTTTGTAAGCTGTTGTTGCCACCCAGTTAGCGCGCAGGTCCGCCCTCCCGCCAATATAGAACAAACATAATAAGTCTTTGTCTATTGTCTGGCCATCGACGGGTTTGGCCACTATCCCCTGCACCTTTACATTGCATCTTGGTAAACAAAACCCCATGTTGTCCTTAATACAAGTTATATAAGACTAGCACTAAGGATGATTAAGAACCATTTATTATATGATAATTTAAAAGAGAAAACAGCTTTAATGCATAAATCTCGTTTCAGTTTACAAGGACTTATTGTTATCGTTAAAAAAGAGAGTCATCATGTGTTGCAAGAGTTAAGAATTTTTAAGCACTAACAGTAATGCGGCTCTCACACCAGACAACAACTTTTAGAAAGAATTAAGAAAAATATCCTCACTCCTTTATGTTAGGTAACGTGTTTATATGCTAATAAATACACACGCAAGTTCACTGAACGTTGATTTTGTTCCTGACGATAACTTAAGACTTGAAAACTGTAATCGGGAAAATTCTTTTCAAAATATCCTTCACTGTGTTCGATCTTGATAAGGTGGCGACCAACAGCTCACCACCAAAACATGTTATTGTCTGAGTGAAAGTTTATAAGAGAATATTTATTTTCATCATCGATTTATTGAGGTTATGTTCAACTAAGTGCGAAATGGCATAAAATAACGTATAATTGACTAAAATAATACAAAAAGTGAAATTACTTAAAATAGCGTAAATAATGATAAAATAACTCTGAAATAACGTGATCAAATAGATAAATAACATTAAACATATTACTGTACTGTATATAACACAAAACTAAATTGATAACTTGAAGTAACACAAAATCAACGGTAAAGTTTTACTTTCGGACAACAAGGAATCAATAGTTTAGGCAATTCTAGGACTCTTTTCTTCTTTGAAGTTTCCCTCGCAAATGACCTAAAAGTTGCCTAACCTATCCTCCTAACCGGGAGGCTCTACCCACCCCCCTTCATATAGAAGCCGTTTGCGAGGAGAACGCTATAGAAGAAAAGTGCCTTAGAACTGCCTAAGTATTTGCTTGCAAAGATAAAATTCCTAAGATTCCCGTGTTGTTTTAAAGTAAAATAATACCAAAACAATGAAATAAGAGTTAAGTTAGAGTTCACGACCACGAGCCACATAATATAATAGTCATCCTTCCTACTCGGTCCGTTTTCTGTTTTTTATAAATTCTTCATTTTTCTCGTTAATAAAAAAATGTATCCACAGATGTTAAACTCGTTTACAAACTCGATAAAAAAAATTGTACTGGAGTTTTATCACATCGGTAGAAACTTGTAAAAAGAGAAAGTTTGGATAACAAATATTGAACTTTTTCTTAAAGCGTTTTAAAAGATGCTTTGTAAGAACTTGAACTCGGTTTCCGTGCTAAAAGGACGTACCT